GGTTGGGTGATGGTGAGGAAGGGTTGGGTGATAGTGAAGAGAGGGGTTAGGTGATGGTGAGGAGAGAGTTGGTGATAGTGAAGGTTAGGTGATGTGAGGAAGGGTTAGGTGATATGAAGAGGGTTAGGTGATGGTAGAGGTTGGTGATGTAGAGGGTAGGTAATGGTGAGGAAGGTTAGGTGATAGTGAAAGGGTTAGGTGATGGAGGAGGATAGGTGATAGTGGGGAGGTTAGGTGAGTGGTGAACGGATGAGGTGATGGTGAGGGAGATTTAGGTGATGGTGAGGGATGAGGTGAAGTGGAGGGAGGTGATAGTGAAGGGAGGGTTAGGTGACGGCAGTGATGGTGAGATGACGGTGAAGATTTTGAAGTCTTCCTTGCACAAATTGCACTGAACAGACACACACACACACACACACACACACACACACACACACACACACACACACACACACACACACACACACACACAAACACACACACACACACACACACACACACACACACACACACACACACTACTTTCACTAATCCCTTCATTATCATAATTAAGCGGTAACGACCTAATTAACGACCACCACAATTAACGACCCACAGTAAAACCATAAATAACCCAAAATGGCGGCTAATATGTCTTAATACTACAGTAGAGTTGACATATTCCTTTTATAATCTCAAAACTGGTAAATCTCTCCTCTCTCTCTCTCTCTCTCTCTCTCTCTCTCTCTCTCTCTCTCTCTCTCTCTCTCTCTCTCTCTCCCTCTCTCTCTCTCTCTCTCTCTCTCTGTCTGTGTTTCCTTTATTCTCATCTCTCCTCCTCCCTTTTCTCTCTCTACTCTTTAATTACCCTCCATCTCACTTTCTCCCTTTTCCCCCTCCCTCTCACATTATCTTCCTCCTTCCTAATGCCTTCACCCCTCCTCAATACCCTCCCTCCCTCCTTAGGCCCCTCCTTCCCTACTAGATCCTCCATCCCTCCCTCCTTCCCCATTACACCTCACACAAGTTCCCCATCTCTCCTCAGCCCCCTCCCCCTCCTCTCTCCTCAGCCCCCCTCCCTCCTCTCTCTCAGCCCCTCCCTCCCTCTCTCCTCCAGCCCCCCTCCTCCCTCTCTCCTCAGCCCCCCTCCCTCCCTCTCTCCTCAGCCCCCTCCCTCCCTCCCTCCTCTCTCCTCAGACCCCCTCCCTCTCTCCTCAGACCCCCTCCCTCTCTCCTCAGACCCCCACCTCCCTCTCTCCTCCAGCCCCCTCCCTCCCTCTCTCCTCAGCTCCTCTCTCCTCAGCCCCCTCCCTCTCTCCTCAGCCCCCTCCTCCCTCCCCTCCCCTCTCTCCTCAGCCCCCCCCTCCCTCCCTCCTCCCCCACAGTTCAGCACCTACCTGTAATTCGAACCGATATAAAAACTACTAATAATGCACCTGTCTTTGATGGGGCTAATTAGTCAGGTAATAACTAATTGGCTCTGTTGTGTGTGTGTGTGTGTGTGTGTGTGTGTGTGTGTGTGTGTGTGTGTGTGTGTGTGTGTGTGTGTGTGTGTGTGTGTGTGTGTGTGTGTGTGTGTGTGTGTGTGTGTGTGTGTGTGTGTGTGTGTGTGTGTGTGTGTGTGTGTGTGTGTGTGTGTGTGTGTGTGTGTGTGTGTGTGTGTGTGTGTGTGTGTGTGTGTGTGTGTGTGTGTGTGTGCACATGTTAGTTTGTTTTTACATAGAGAAAAAATATATATAAAACAAGAAAGACAGATAAAAAAACACTAAGATAGACAGAAAGAGACAGACAGACAGACAGACAGACAGACAGACAGACAGACAGGAGGAGACAGACGTGCTGGTTGACACAACACTAGAACCATTAACACGGGTCACAGTTGGTCCTCTAGAAGCCCTTTAGTGGTGTTAGGGTTGTACACACCACACACACACACACACACACACACACACACACACACACACACACACACACACACACACACACACACACACACACACACACACACACTGGTATTCCTTCTCTTCTATTTCCATCCTTCCTTTTCTTCCACTTTCATTATTCTATTCCTTTTCTCTCTCTCTCTTAATTTTTCTTCTACACAACCTTTCCACAATCCCTCCTCTCCTCTCCCCTCTCCTCCTTCAAACCTTTCCCTCTCTCCTCTCCTCTCTCTCCCTCCCTCTCTCTCTCCACCTCTTTTATTTTTCATATAGTTCTCCTCTCCCATTCATTACCTCTCCTTTCCTTCCTTATTACCTTTCCCTCACTCTTCACCTACCCTCCTCCCTCTTGCTTCCTCTCCTTCCTCCCCTCCTTTCTCTCCCCTTCCCCCTCTTGCTTCCTCTCCTTTCCTCCTCCCCTCTCTCCCCCTTTCCCCTCTTGTTTCCTCTCCTTTCTCCCTCCCTCTCTCCCTTCCCCTCTTGCTTCTCTCCTTCCCTCCTCTCCTTCTCTCCTTTCCCCTTCTTGCTTCTCTCCTTCCTCCCTCCCCTCTCCCCTTCCTCCCCTCTTGTTTCTCTCCCTTTCCTCCCTTCCCCTTTCCTCCTCCTCCATCTATCCTTCCCCCTCCTTCCCATCTCCCTCCTCATTTCCTTTCTCCCTCCTCACTCCTCTTTCAATCACGTCTCCTCCTGCCCTTCTCCTCTCCTCTTCTCCCTCCTCCCTCTCCTCTCTATCCCTCCCCTCTCCTCCTAATAATACACAGAGGTGACGGCCGCAAATTCTACCATAAAAAATCTATTGAACAGCGACAACTTGGGGCGTACCGGAAACGTCACCATCTCCAAAAGCTGTTGAGAAAAGGTGTTGTTGGACTTGATGTACAAATTGGACTTTTAAGGCGTGAAGAATAAGGATACCAGTGGGGATAGTATTGGACTTTGGACGTGGGGATAGTATTGGACTTTGGACGTGGGGATAGTGATTGGACCTTTGGACGTGGGGATAGTATTGGACTTTTGGACGTGGGATAGTATTGGACTTTGGACGTGGGGATAGTATTGGACTTTGGACGTGGGGATAGTATTGGACTTTTGGACGTGGGGACGTATTGGACTTTGGACGTGGGGTAGTGTTGGACTTTGGACGTGGGGATAGTATTGGACTTTGGACGTGGAGGATAGTATTGGACTTTGGACGTATGGGATAGTATTGGACTTCTGGACGTGGAGGACCAACTTCAGAACTCTTACATGCTCAAATGGTTGGACGATGCTTGGATAAGACTTTTTGGACGTCCTTCCACACATCCTTCCTCCCATCCTCTCATTCACCACGCCCTCCACCTCCCATTCCTCACACCCCACCCTCTCATTCACCGCCTCCCCCTCATTCACCCACGCCCTCCCCACCCTCATTCCCCACACACCTCCCCTCTCATTCACCCCCACCTCCACCCTCTCACCCCACCTCCCACCCTCTCATTCACCCACCCTCCACCTCTCATTCCCCACACCCCTCCCACCCTCTCATCATGCTTATATTCCCAATCACATCCACCCACTTTCTACACCCACATACTCACTTTCTCCCCAAACCCCTAACCACCTACCCGTTCATCCATCTCCACCCACACCCCTCCAATCATTCATACACCACTTCTACCCATCTCACAACCATCCACCCTAGTACTTCCACCCACATGGTCTCTCTTCCCCCCATCATCCTATCACCACCCCACCCCACCCACACACACCTCTAGCGTCTACAAAGACATTATCTAACTCAGCAGACATTAAATTTCAAGACAGAATTCAAAAAAAAAGACCTTAGAAAAACTTTAAATTGGATTTGCAGCAAAGTCTCTCTCTCTGTGTGGATGGGTTGGGCGGTATGATAGTGCATGTGAGTCTCTTCCTTCTCTCTGGGAGTCTCTGGGGTGAGGGGAAGGAGAGGGGAGAGGGGAGTGGGGAAGTGGGGAGTGAACAGTCTTCTTCTCTCTCGGGGATTTGGGGAGATGGAGGTGTGTTGTGACCTCCTTCCTTCTGTCTGGGAGTCTCTGGGGTGGGGGGTGATTAGAGTCTTCTTCTGGGGGTTTAAGGGGATGGAAGAGCATGTGAGCCTTCTCTCTCTGGGGGTATAAGAGTGTGAAGGGTGGAAGGTGTGTCTACAAGTTTCCTCCTTCTCTCTGGAATCTCTGGGGTTTAGGGGGATGGAGTGTGTGTTATGAGCCTCCGCCTCCTCTCTAGGAATCTCTGGGGTTTAGGAGTGTCCAAGGGGATGAAGAAATGGAGGATGTCTGCAAGTTCCTCCTTTTCTCTGGGGGTTTAAGGGGTGAGGGGATGTGTTCTCAGGGGTTCGAGACAAGGAAGACCGGAATTAATATGTATAAGTCAGGGGAGCCGAGGGAGAGGAAGGAGGAGAGGAGGAGAGGAAGAGAGTAGAGAAGGAAGGAAAGAAGGGAGGGAGGAGGAAGAGGAAAGGAGGAGGAGGAAAGAGTGGGGGGAGGAGGAGGAGGGGAAGGGGGAAGAGGCGAGAAAGGGAGGAAATAATAGGGGGAAGGAAGACAAGAGAACAGAGGACAGGAGAGGAAGAGGAGAGAAAAGGAAGAAAGGAGGAGGGAGGAAGAGGAAGGAGGAGAGTGTTGGGGAGGAGGAGGAGAGGGGATGGGAGGAGGAGGTTGGTGAGAGGAGAGTAGTGGGGAGGGAGGCGTGGGAGGGAGAAGGGATGTGGGAGGGTGTTGGAGGTAGTGTTGGGAGGAGGTAGTGTTGGGAGGGAGGAGGTGTGGGGGGCGGTGTGGGGAGGAGGTGAGTGTTGGGAGGAGGAGCGGGGTTGGGAGGAGGAGGAGGTGTGGGGAGGGTGTTGGGGAAGGAGGGCAGGGTTGGGGAGGAGGAGTAGTGTTGGGAGGAGGTAGTGTTGGGGAGGGCAGGGTTGGGGAGGGATGAGGGGTGTGTGGGGAGGGTGTTGGGGAGGAGGGTGTTGGTGGAGGAGGTAGTGTTGGGGAGGGGAGGGCGGGGTTGGGAGGAGGTAGTGTTGGTGGAGGGAGGTAGTGTTGGGGAGGGAGGAGGCAGGGGTTGGGAGGAGGTAGTGTTGGTGGAGGGAGGAGTAGTGTTGGTGGAGGGAGGAGTAGTGTTCAGGAGAGGCAGGGGTTGGGGATGGAGGGTGTGGGGGAGGGGGTGTGGGGACCACATATGTTACAGGCATGTAATCTATGGGGGCAACCTTTCTCCTGCTGTGTGTGTGTGTGTGTGTGTGTGTCTGCAGGAGCCTGGGGTGCCGTCACTGTGTTGATAATTTTTTTGCTGTGTTGGTGTGTGTGTGTGGTGCTGGGAGCTGTGGTGCTGGGAGCTGTGGTGCTGGGGCTGTGGTGCTGGGGCTGCGGTGCTGGGAGCTGCGGTGCTGGGAGCTGTGGTGCTGGAAGCTGCGGCTGCTGGGAGCTGTGGTGCTGGAAGCTGCGGTGCTAGGGCTGCGGTGCTGGGGCTGTGGTGCTGGGAGCTGCGGTGCTGGGAGCTGTGGTGCTGGAAGCTGCGGCTGCTGGGGCTGGCGGAGCTGCGGTGCTCTGGGAGCTGTGGTGCTGGGAGCTGCAGTGGGACACGGTGCTGGGAGCTGCGGTGCTGGGAGCTGTGGTGCTGGGAGCTGTGGTGCTGGAAGCTGTGGTGCTGGGAGCTGTGGTGCTGGGGCTGCGGTGCTGGGAGCTGCGGTGCTGGGAGCTGTGGTGCTGGAAGCTGTGGTGCTGGGAGCTGTGGTGCTGGGAGCTGCGGTGCTGGGAGCTGTGGTGCTGGAAGCTGCGGTGCTGGGGCTGTGGGCTGTGGTGCTGGGGCTGTGGTGCTGGAAGCGGCGGTGCTGGGAGCTGTGGTGGGAGCTGGTGCTGGGCTGCGGTGCTGGAGGTGCTGGGAGCTGTGGTGCTGGAAGCTGCGGTGCTGGGAGCTGTGGTGCTGGGAGCTGCGGTGCTGGGAACTGTGGTGCTGGGAGCTGTGGTGCTGGGAACGTGGTGCTGGAAGCTGCGGTGCAGGGAGCTGTGGTGCTGGGACCTGCGGTGCTGGGAGCTGTGGTGGCAGGAGCTGTGGTACTGGGAGCTGTGGTGCTGGAAGTTGCTGTGGGGCTGTGGTGCTGGGGCTGCGGTGCTGGGAGCTGTGGTGCTGGGAGCTGTGGTGCTGGGAGCTGCAGTGCAGGGGCTGTGGTGCTGGGAGCTGCGGTGCTGGGAGCTGCGGTGCTGGGAGCTATGGTGCTGGGCTGCGTGCTGGGAGCTGTGGTGCTGGGGCTGCGGTGCTGGGAGCTGTGGTGCTGGGAGCTGTGGTGCTGGGGCTGAGGTGCTGGGAGCTGTGGTGCTGGGAGCTGTGATGCTGGGAGCTGCGGTGCTGGGAGCTGTGGTGCTGGGCTGTGGTGCTGGGAGCTGTGGTGCTGGGAGCTGTGGTGCTGGGAGCTGTGGTGCTGGGAGCTGCGGTGCTGGGAGCTGTGGTGCTGGGAGCTGTGGTGCTGGGAGCTGTGGTGCTGGGAGCTGTGCTGGGAACTGCGGTGTGGGGAGCTGTGGTGCTGTGAGCTGCGGTGCTGGGGAGCTGTGGTGCTGGGAGCTGCGGTGCTGGGAGCTCTGGTGCTGGGAGCTCTGGTTCTGGGAGCTGCAGTGCTGGGCTGTGGTGCTGGGAGCTGCGGTGCTGGGAGCTGCGGTGCTGGGACTGTGGGCGGCTGTGGTGCTGGGAGCGCGGTGCTGGGAGCTGTGGTGCTGGGAGCTGCGGTGCTGGGGAGCTGCGGTGCTGGGGCTGTGGTGCTGGGGCTGTGGTGCTGGGAGCTGCGGTGCTGGGAGCTGTGGTGCTGGGGCTGTGGTGCTGGAGCTGCGTGCTGGGAGCTGTGGTGCTGGGGCTGTGTGATGCTGCGACGCTTTGAATGCTAGAACCCTGATGCTACCAATATTGTGCTGCTGTGAGAGGTCTATGAGTGCTGTGTAGGCGTCTGTGACAGGATGCAGTACACTTGTCGGGAGCTCGTACACCTCCACCACCGTATACTGTTAGTCTCTCTCTCTCTCTCTCTCTCTCTCTCTCTCTCTCTCTCTCTCTCTCTCTCTCTCTCTTTCTCTCTCTCTTTCTCTTTGTCTCTCTCTCTCTCTCTCTTTGTACACTTAGTAGAAAATTATCAGTTTCTCTCTCTACTATCTGGAAGAGAGAGAGAGAAACCACTCTCTTCCTCAGGACAACATGACTATAGTTTCAACGTTAGTATCCGGTTCACGACTTCCATAATCAAACCAACGGAACTATCCATCAAACTCCCCCCTCTCCCTCCTCCTCAAACACACAATACGGTCCATAGATTATCCTTACCTCACAGAGAACCCAACCATATGGACTGATAGGGGTCGGGGGCAATACAGTGCTATGAGTAAGCAGGCAGGCAGGCAGGCAGGTCAGGGTTGGGTGGGGTGGGAGGGCTGTGGGGTGGGGTTGGTGGGGTGAGTGGGGTGGGGTGGGGGAGTACTGTGGGGTGGGGTGGGGTGGGGTGGGTAGGGTAGGGTAGGGGCTCTTCCATGCACTCTTTAATGACGTAATTCCTCCATTTATTATTGAGTTAATGAGTCTTACAGATGACCTAGAATGTACCGGGTTAGTGACGTCATCTGTCGTTAGGGGCTATAGGTTTCAGTTAATGTAAGCGTTAAGGACGAGTTAACGACCTCGGCGGATTAAGTACCAATTTTATCGCATATTTCATCTCCTGAGGCCTATTTGCTGGTGATGGTTGGGAAATAGGGTAGGAGTGATGGTAGTGAAATAGGTTAGGTTAGGGTAGAGTTAGGGTAGGTTAGGGTAGGTTAGGGTAGGTTAGGTGAAATAGTGATGATGGAGATTAAGATTGCATGTTTGGTTATATTAGGATATCTTCTCTCTCTCTCTCTCTCTCTCTCTCTCTCTCTCTCTCTCTCTCTCTCTCTCTCTCCTCTCTCTCTCTCTCTCTCTCTCTCCTACCGTCTTCTTACTCCCTATTCTTCTTTCCTTTCACTACACTTTCTCCTGCCCCATCCTTCACCCTCCCCCCCCCACCACCCCAAACTCCCCTTTTAATTCTCCCCACCATCACCCTCCTCCCCTCCACACCTCCACACACCCCCCCACCCAAACCTCCTCTCCCACTCCACCCACCTCCCCATTCCCCAGTCCTCATTTCCCATTCCCCCACACCCCCCTACCCACACCTCCTCTCACCCCACCCTCCCATTCCCCCCTCATTTCCATTCCCCACCCCCCCCTACCCACACCTCCTCTCCACCATCCCCTCCCACTTCCCCTCCTCCTTCCCACACCCCCCACCCCCCTCCACAGCAATCAGCCCCCACCAGGCAAGGCAGCTCCTTGATGCTCGCCAAATGGAAATAGCTTATGCAACTGCAGCATTAGTCGCTGCAATTCCCAGCGTTGATTACATCCGCCTCCGCTAAAAGCACAGCTAACGCAGCGATGAACACAGCTGGAGGTGTGAAGCGAGACGCAGCATAACTAACACACCGTCAAACACAGCTAACACAGCAATCAAAACAGCAATACATGTAAAAATGCAACACAGCAACGAATCTCACCTGAACTACAAACACTCATTAACATAACCTGCAGTAATGCTCACAACACCATCTAAAATACAGCCAGGCACTGATCATCGCTCGTGCAGGCGTTGGTTTGCCACAGGAGAGGAGAGGTGGAGGAGGAGGGGGTGATGGACTCGTATGCTGGTCCTGGTAAACAAAGGCACAATTGGATTTGTTGTGTTGTCACCTGTCTCTCTGTTACCTCACTAAAGCCTCTGTAAAATTTTAATTGTTTTAAATAAGTCACTAAATGGATTTGGCAAGTCCATTATACTAGAGTTGTTTGGTGCTACTACTACTATTACTGGTACTACTTCTACTACTACTATTTTTTTTTTTTTTTTTTAAACAGCCTCAAGCCCCCAATAGCCACACCTTGCCGCCATTTATTTACCATATTAAATATCCTATAATAAGAAGCTATCCTATCTGTGTTAAATTAGTTGAGCCGCAGATCTGCGGCATTCGGTGACTGTAGCCTCATAGTCAATATCTGCAGCAGTTGTCGGAGTAGGGGCAAGCTCTCGTTCCCCTGAGGCAGAGCAAAGCCGACCAGAGAGAAAAGGATGACATCTCATCAGGCTGTAACAGAAACTGAACCTTGCTTCTGTTCGGAAGTCTCCTCAGTCTGGCGTAAAAACATCTTGCATGAGCCCATCCACCAGAGGTTGTGAACACTAGAGTGAAGCTGCCTTGATCAACATTTGATTCTCTCCAGCTCGCTCTCTGTCGTTCTCATTTACTCTGCAGCATCCCGAAAGCTAGTTACGGCGACAAACGGCCGCCAGGATAAAAAACCTGATGTCGGCTGCTT